AAACTTCGCAGGGCTATATTATCCGCATTTTACAACATTTCGTAACGAAACTTTGGAATATTACTAATTTTGTGATGCTCTTTCAAGCTGTGATGAAATTTTTGTCTAGATCAAAATTTTAGTTATAAGGTTAAAGGTCCATTGGAGTACCATGGTAAGAAAACCCATACGTGTGTTTCCGCGAAATCCATAGGAATTGGTAGTTGGCCACAATTTTATGGTGTCATTTGAATGTAGTATCCGTAGGTGTCGCATTTTGAAATATTAGGAAAGCAAAAAACACTAAATAGGTTAATCAAATTATGCATTTACACGAATTGTGCGCTGCGTTCGTCGCACGCATACCAAAACTTGTCAAATCGCTGAATGTACATGAAACGTCTATGCCACTATCAACTCGAAATAACAGCTTATATTCTGTCCATATAGACGGTTTACAAGCAGGTCATATCAAAATTTCTTGCATGTGTCACACTTCTTACTTTTCGCTATTATGGCTATTTATGCATGCATGAATATACCAATAAATGCTGTCAAACAGTAAGGCTAGTTAGGCATAGGGCGTTTTACAACAATTATTCATATACAATCATCATATATTCAAAATTATTTATGTATGATTTTTTACACTAACTTATATCTATCCTACTTTTGTTTTGGCAATTTATTTTATTTGTTAGAAATTTTGTGATCTTATGATATTTATATGGTAGTTAGTATAATGGGAGAACTACGGTCTGGTAATAATTTCTTTTATATGTCATAGCATTTTACAATTGAGGAATTCACATTATATTCTTGTTATTGTATATGTTATTACTTGAATTGATATTTTAATTCTATCCTTGTAGTTAAAAAATTAAATAATTGTACCCAGTATATATGGTAATTAATGTGGGTTACGAATAGCAGTATCAAATATACCCATAGTTGAAAACAATTCTGGCCAATCAAAATTTACTAAAAGCATATCTGTAAGACCCATAATATTTGTGAACGCAAGTTTTAACGTCTGGCAATCTTTGCCTGCAAAATACTTTGGCAAATTCAAGGGGGGACTAACATAATAAATGAAGGGTTAGATTTTTATCATTCTCGTTCCCAGAGTCATTTTCGCTCGGCCATTAGAGACTTTAAAAGACTATACATATCCTAACCAAAGATTGGTGACCAGTCATGTTTTTCCAGGTTATTTGATACAGTTATTCTTAGAGAGAAATGTAGCATGTATAGATTAATAGTCTTAGTATCATAATGATCTGATTGTGATAAATACATTTTTGGAATTGTAACTTTTACAGAATATTCCTACCGCGCTTTCAAACCAGAAAATAAATATTAAAATTTTTCAATCATGACTAGTTAAATTATTACGTTAATTAGCATAATTTTTACACCCGTTAGAGTAGCAATATGTATCCATGCGTCTCATTATATGCTGTCCACCAGGGACTTGTATGATTTACAATGATTTACATATTTCTCATTTCAAATAAAAATGAATGACAATATTTAGGGGGCTACTTTACATGGTCGGGACGGAATGTTATAGGCGGGATGATTTGATGTGTTGAATTAAATCACTATACGCTTAAACGAAAGTTCAAACGCCAGTTAAAAGAACTCAAATGTTGGCGGGAATATCTCGTAGTTCAAGAAGATTATCATCCCTGCTTGAACTACCTAGCGTTTACAATTATACAATAATCTATCACTAGAAAATTGTAGTTTTGTTGAATTCAATTAGCCATTCCGAAGTTGATGAGTGGACTGGGGACGAATGTTAAAAAGTGCCCAAATTAAGAAATGAACCAAATCACTAAAAAGACCACCTCAAAATTAGTAAGTACACAAAGTTTGAATACGTTTACATGAATACCCTTCGAATAATAAGCTTTCGAAAATTGTGAAATTACTGATTAAAAGATTGTTTTGGGGACGCGCGTCCCAAAAACACGAATTACAATACATTTCATAGTAAATATCGCGATTTTCAAAAGCTTGTTATTTGAAGGGTATTCATGTAAACGTCTTCAAACTTTGTATACTTACTAATTTTGAGGTGCTCTTTTTAGTGATTTGGTTCATTTCTTAATTTGGACACTTTTTAACACTCGTCCCCAGTCCACTCATCAACTTTGGAATGGCTAATACAATCAAAATCATCCCACCTCGCAGCTCGTCCCGGGAACATGCCCTTAAATACGAACATGCCTCTAAATACAAATGACACTGAAGTAAAATTTCTGGCGCACGCGCAGCACACACCATGCTTTCCCTTTACATAATGTCCTACCTTAAGTAACTACTCACTGCCTGTCTTCTTTCTGAATTTTGCTTTGACATCATATTTTGGTCTCGACACTGGTAGCCATTTGTATGTCAAGTCTTGATCACTGTCCAACTCCCAACTATATTCATTCAGTAATCTTTTCATTATGGCCTGTAGAAGAGATAAAACCCTCTTAACATGCCATCCTGCTGAAAGACAATCACACATACAAACAGGGCTCGAATTTTATCGCGGCAATTGCCGCAGAGGGAGAAAAAAATGCCGTGGATCATTGCGGCAACGACGGCAATTTTTTGCCGTATAGTGCAATTTTTATACTATTCACTGTGCATATTACTACTTTGATACTTGAATTCAGATGTTGATCAAATCATGCGTAAATCACTTTTTTAGTCTCAGTTTTCTTCGAAAAAAAAAACACTAAAGAAATACGTAGACATGTTTCTAACTTGTCAAAAATCCAAAGTAACAATAAAATTAAAGTTTTATTACAGTAATTTGAAAAATGCCGTGGAAACTGCCAAAATTGCCGTAGACAGCTGTTACGTTCTACGGCAATTTTTAACGCCATTGCCGTCGATTGATTTCAGGGAAATTCGAGGCCTGCGTACAAACCAAGGTGACATCCAAGGCCGTTGAGGCAGACTCACGGATGAGATCAAATGAAAGTGACAGAAAGAATTGGAGCAGTTTGCAGTTGTTTTTACAAACCGGGAACCATGCGAATTTTAGCAAATCAAAAGAACGAACGCGGTTCTGAAAGGCCCGATTCGCAGGCAAACAGTGCGCGCAAAGCAGGCTGGTCATTTCCCATTGTTTAACTGACCCACACTCAAGTAACTACAAAGACTCACAGATATTGTTGCTTCGCCACATCCGTGAGTCAAAAATAACGGAGGTAATTATCACATCATATTTCGATTCAAGCATCCCAGTTTATCGAAGTAGAGTAAGGCAATACTCACGCGTATTATGCGTCCTATACAATGCTGTCCAATACAATTCCTTGGTCCATAACCGAACGTGAAAACACGCGATCTTGCGGGTGCGTCACTACGAAAGAAGACCAAGAGCAATTAACGCAACTATCGGCTAACTAACCCGAGGAAGAGAGAGGAGACCTCGCCTAACAGGAGCCGTTGCAAAAAAATGCAAAAAAAACTATAGGCAAAAAAACTATAGGCCCTCTGGCATTCGAAATGCCCACCTACAAATCCGTCCAACAATTTATAGTTATATCAAGTGAGAAGCCCCCAAAAATCCTTACAAATATTTACCCAAGAGTAATTAGCCATTCCGTGTTCAGAAAGCTGTTCACATATTGTTTGCAATGTTGAAAACATCACAAACGAATGATCGACACCGGTTACTTACCTCGCTTCCCAGCGTTCAGGCAGAAATTTGTGCGGTTCTTTAAACACAGTCGGATCCATATTAGCATTCCGTGTCAAATATGCCACCGAGTAACCTTTGGGAATTTGAAATCCGTCCAGGACTACGCTCTAAAAAGAAAAACACAGTGTACATCCATACCACCCGCAAAATTTAGGACAAAAGTCCGGTTAAATTTTGATATATTCTAAGTTCACCTCTTACCCAAAACTTAATCCATTCCCCATCACCACCTCCGTCCCCCCCCCCCCAACCCATTACAATTCCTCCTACCTTTTTAGCAATTCTTCGTCCCCCAAGGAATGGTGGCCAAAGTCGTTGTACTTCAAGTAATACGTTATGTAAGTACTCGTCATCTGTAGTAGCTCGTAAACGCCGAGCATTCTGAAAGGATGTAAAAGTAACGATTAGGGCACAACAGTGCCATATTTACTATTATTTACGGCATAGCCATAGTTAGGACACACCAGTTAGCCCATGAACAAAAGCTAAGGGTCAGTTAAATTTTGTTTAAAACTGTATGCCATGGGCATGACCCATGGTTAATATAAATTACTTTCTGAAAACCTATTTAGGAGGGAATTCAAATATTTTGTTTCTTGTATGATTTTTACAATAAATTTATAGTGCCTTTTTATTTTCGCTGAACCACACTGCATGACGATTTACGATGGCGCAGATATTGTTGAAAAGGTCAATTTTAAACCCGCATGATCGTTCTGCCTCAATAGTACCCTCTTTCTTCCCGCCCTCGACAACAGGCCGCGCACGTTTCCCGACTGCTAGAGGTATGGGTACGACAAAAACTAATGCCAGTTTCCTTATTTTGTGTCACTTTTAGTAGTTTCCCGTCAGTAAAAAATATTGGGAAAAAATTTTATCACATTTTAAGGTTGTAGAACGCTAAATCGTAGTAATACTTTAAAGAAAAAAAAGAGAAATAAATCGGGTAAAACAAAAAATGAAAAGAGATGCACTGGCCGGGAATCGAACCCGGGCCTCCCGCGTGGCAGGCGAGAATTCTACCACTGAACCACCAGTGCTCAGATGACAAAACCTTGCAAAATAACTCAATATAAAGAAGCTCTCAACTTCATTATTTTACTCTGTCTAACGCCAGACGATTTTAATCATCAAGAATCTTTTGCACTAATGGATTTAATACAATAATTAATTTGGTTCATTAAAGTACTCACATTATGTGGTTTAGCAAGCTCAAGGCAACATGAGGTCAGCAAGGAAGACAATGCTTTAGGTACCAAAGCAGATACAAACAGCAACATATGTCTGCTAAGTTCATCAATGTTACGAAAACCAGCATCGCTCATTGTCCTCAGGAAACTATTAACATGAAAAGTACAATAGTTCAGGTCAATTTCCATAAAAGTTTGATAAAATACAAAATCAAAGCTTTACCAAAAATTACCTACCAATTTTTACTTAGTGGTAATCGTTCCTTTATGACCTCAAGCAAATGACCCTATAAAAATCAAAACATTTCATAATGAAATAATTATCATTCATGTTACCATGTTAAGCTGACTGTTAGTCCAATACCTGTGCTTCCATGGCCAAAGCATAACCCGATGTGTAGTTACCAATTTTTAAATTTATTGGAACAGATATTAAACCTAGAAGAGAAAGAGTATTTAGACATCATAAAATATTACGATGCTTTTGTTGGCAAAGCAAGTATGTGTTAGAAATCATTTCAAAAAGTATTCTGATTTAGAAAGAATTATTTTAATTAATTCAGACAACTGAGTTCGAGAAGGGTATGAGGTGCCTGAATTAGAGACAGGCATATAATATAGGGAGGGGTATCTGAATTAGAGAGAGGAACCCAAATTAGAAAGATGTGCCAAAATTAGAAGGAAAGGGAGAGGTATTTGAACTAGAGAGGGGTATTGTATCAAAATTTTAAAAATGCGGGCGATAATGTATCTGGATTAGAGAGAGCGATCTGAACTAGAGGGAAATACCTGAATTAGCGAGACGTGATTGAATTAGACAGAGATATCTGAATTAGAGAGAGTGGTATGTGAATTAAAGAGGTGTCCCAGAAGAGAGAAATTCTTTCCAAAATTAGAAATGGCTGCCCATGAGTTAGAGAGAGGTTCATGAATTAGAGAAAGGCATCTGACACTGGTTCAGCAATTAGAGAGATACACCTGAATTTGAGAGAGAGGTACTTGAATTAGAGAGAAGGTACTTGAATTAGAGAGAGGTACCAAAATAAAAAAAGTTTCATTTGTAAGAAGAAAATATAATGTTGGTATATATAACTGAGGGTGATAATTAATGTACAGTGGAACCCTGTTAATACAGTCAAGAACGGGCTGAAAAATTTGGCCATAATGGGGTAGCTGTATTAACAGGGTATTCTTCAATTAAAAAGCTATGTTTAGACGCTGCAATGTGTTGTGTATGATCCATATTCTAGCATATGTAATCGAATAAGCACATGTAAAGCGGTTGCATTTCAAATTTCGCCATAATCTGAATGAAGAGGAATTGTGGCGTCAGCAGTAAATTTCATACGCCAGAATACGAATCGTACAAGACAAATTGCAGCGTGTAAACGTAGCTTAAAAAATGCATTGTCTTGGCATTTTCCAGAGACAAAAATAAGTGGTCATAATAACAAGGTGACCATACTAAGTAACAGGGTGGTTGTAAGGTGGGATTCCACTGCATTGTGTTATCAACTTACCATGCCAATGAGTGATAGTAAGTGCAGTAATCTTCTTCATTTCCTCCTTACAATCCAAGCCAAGAAATAAACTTAGACACATTTCAGTCGTGAGCTGTTTAAAATGATCATAGATGGCAATGGAGTTGTGTTGTTCAAAACTTGGAAAATGATGATCACATGATCTGTTTACAACATCTGTAACAGTTTGTTCTGTTTGAGGAATGAACAGAGAATGGATAAGACCTCTGAGTCTCGACACACTGTCATCTTCGTTAAAGAAAATCACAAGATCACCAAATAAGGAATGCATATACCCAAAGTCTTTGTAACCCATTTCAAAACATTGATTCTGGTCTATAAAAGAAAACGAAATTATAAATGATATAATTTAGAATTAACTGAAGAGGATGGGTTAGAGACACTTAAATTTTGGAAACTGGTGCGGTTTTGTTTTCGTCTTAATAGATATACATATATACATATAGACTTTTTGTTTCACTTGTGCAACTCAACTTGCCATCAAATTTCATTATAGCTCAACTGGCAGAGTGTGTCCGTACCGACTTTTAAGAAACTTAATGAGTTAATGTCACACAAAACATGTACTGCTATAATTATAAATTATATAACCTGAAATAACCAAATTTCAATTTCTACCAAAAGTACTGCAAATGCATAGTTACCTTGTAACAGTTCTTTGACAGCATCACTTGAGGTCAAAAATATGGTTGGTTTATTAAGAATTCTAACTTTAAAAACAGGAGATTGATGTTCTTTAGTTTTGTTCTTGATAAATTCCAGGGGACTGTATGCAAACTCAAAAGTCTTGTCACTCATGAGTCCAATCCACCCCACTGAACCTGGTACTTGCGACGCTGTTTGCATTGTTCAGATCTGAATTTTTAAAATATATAAATCATTCTGAATATCCTCAACGAGGTGAGGTATGCACTCATCAACTCATTGAGCACCAGCACTCTCCCCTTGACAAGTAAAATCATCAGGCATTAAAGAGAGTAAAATAATATATGACATTAGACAGGGTAAAATGATAAAGTAGGGCATGTTTGTGAGCAGTATGTGTAACTTAAGGGGTTTACTGACACATGGGTAGATTAACCTGTTGAGCACCAGTGCTCTCCCCTTGATGAGTAAATTCATCTGGCGTTAGATAAAATAAAATAATAAAGTAAGGCGAATTGGTGTACAATGCAACTTAATGGGTTAAACTAAAGATGTGGCACAGTCCATTCTGCACATGTGTACGTTAGAGTTTCCAGCTTAATTGATGATAACAGGATTAACAGATTAACTTAACTAGGTTCTATGTTTTTGCAAAGCCTGGTTGTGCTACCTTGAATCTTCTATCATTTAATTATTTTACTCTGGAAATAGAATTTTTGACAGAGCTGTTAATAATCTAAAAATTCAGTTAGGTACTAGAAATCTGACTTTGTTTTCACAAGTGGTTTTCGCATATGCTTAATACAAAAATACATAACTTGTATATTGATGAAATAAAGTGAAAACCCGTTTGTAGCAATTTTATACAATAGACTTATAGTCAGAGTATATATTTAATAACACTTGAAAATAGGTACACACATTCACTATTTACTGTAAAAGATGAAACAAATATTAGCATGTAAAGTATGAAAGTGTTCGCTTGAAACGGAAGTATATTAAACTTTAGATTTATGTAATGTAAAAGTTTTTCAACCATATATTACGTTGACAGCTGTTTTATATTTTCACACGCAAATAAAACAAGAATAAAGCAAACGGCCATTATAAATATCACATAATTATAAATTTCTTTTGTCATTAATTTGGCCAAGACATTGCCAAAATAACTCAAACCTGTATATATACAGCTGTCTGACTGTATTGTCTATTGAGTTCAAAATCGTTTCATAGCTGTATTTGACAAGATATATCAAAACCATAACAACTAGAAAGCCTGATGTACAAAGTTAAGTATTATTATTTTGTTTGGCATTACTTTACATTCATACAGTCATATTACAATACATCACACATACAATATCAAAATAAGCCATAAACCGTACCTTTTCAAAGAATAGTATAAATATATTAACCTTTTTAATAATCTTGGCTTGATTTTCAGTCTAAAACTAAAGGCACAATATCGACATCATTTTTTTATGATAAATTGTTCTTGAATGACAAAAAAAGCGTCTTTATGTCATTTCTATAGATCAAATATGCAAATAAATCTTGAAAGTGAAAATTTTATATATACAGTAAAGGACCAGTTGCTCCCCGATTGTTGTTTACTTCCGGCTAGTTACAAATTCTCTGATCCAAATTCTAAGCTGTGATTGGTTAAAATTTGTTCCATTGAAAAATGAAACTTTTGGTTTTCTCTAACCTGAAGTTCAGGCACTATTAAATTTAAAAGAGGGTTTTCTCCAGAGGGTTTTCTCAGAATCTGTAAATTTCTCGAAACTCGGCACGCTTCAAAGCGTCTATAATCCTATAATGAGCTACGATTTTATGTTGAATGACTTCACACCTTGTACAAATCTTTATTCGATGATTTATAATGGTCACTATATTTATAATGGCAAAATTTCACTGTCTTCAGACTTCAGGGCTATCTTTAATACATGGAATCCGGGAAATGTGGATTTCCTGGGTTTCTTTCAAGAACATGAAATGCTATAATATATAAGTAGTCATTGATATAGAAAGCTAACAAAAGCTAACATCATATTTTGCCATGCAAACTTACATGTAAGACTCCATTTACATGGGACCGGATTAATTTCCTGCCTCGTCCCTTCAGTTGGGAATAGAGATCAGTGGAAAAGCAATGGGAGCGCGGGGCTTAATGGGAATGCGATAGAACGTGAAGCGACCGCGCGTACGGATAACGGACTGTGGAAGAGTCAGATGAATTTCGCCATGTGAACGCAGACTTTCCCCTGAGTTATATGTAAGGGGGGATTGATAACAGTGACAATTATTTTTTACCACGAAAGCATGGTAGGCTATAGATTAAACTATATATTGCAGGAAATTTAATTAATACAAAAAAAGTTTAAAGAACCAAGATTTCCAGCAACAAAAGTGGTCATATGGCTGCAACCTAAATTCGCCCACTCCCCTCAATTTTTCCCGAAGTGTCCCCCTATGATATGATATACGTATTTTCGCAACGTCCACGGATCTTTTTCAGGTAGTTGAAAGGAGCCTATAGAACTTATTTTCAAAGATAACGTTTTCATTGTGCTTGAATAATTAATATATATTCTTGCGCTGACCTGCTGTTCAGCATAATCTGTTATGGAAACGGAACCGGTGTTCCAGAGCTGTTTAGTCGTACACAAACTTAAGTGTCTTACACTTGATAACAGCCGTACAAGCGTTGTACTTCAAGAATTTATGCTCCAAACTCCACAAAATTCTACTTAATTGTTGTTCACGGAATAATACATCCACTAAATGCTTTCATAAAAACTTGGCGAAGCATACACTTTATTTATCAAACTTTTTTGTGAAGTCTAACGGACGAAATAATGAAATCAAACAAAATTGATCCATCAGTTGTCGGCTTTCGTGAAGATGTTCCACTAACAGAATACGGCTTCGTAAATGAAGGAGCTAGCATCCCAGGAAGACAGACTCCAATCGCCGGACAGAGATTCAAAAATAAAGCACGGAAAATTGCATCTGTTAAAGCCATCACTCAGGCAAAGATATCCTCAACTATCTGGCGAGATAAAGCAACAAGACTTGTGATGCGTCGTTCGAAGAGCAAGCGCTCGAAGCAACAGAAACCGTTTAATGTCATAGACACTATAAATGGACGGAAAAATATGCAGGCAACCCTCAGTGATATCGAAGATGACGAAGAGATGGAGCAAGAAGGAGTTATAACTTATGAAGATGGTACACCCAAGCCACAAACCTCGTCAGCGAAGGCTCTAAATCTTGACTCACATAGCAAAGCACTTCTTCATTATTTTGCAAAGGTAAAGCTTGGAATTTGCCCGATATAGAAAATCCTATGTTAAGTAGTCGTTTCACCCCATGTTTGGCAGTGTCAAACTCAACACTAATGTAATACGACGACAAACGTGTTATTTCACATAGACTCATAGTGAAGCATTTGTTCATTATTTTACAAAGGTAATGCTTGAGATTCCTGGCTACTGACATAGAGCATCATTTTAGCTCCGTTCATAAGGGACTGGATGAATTTGGGACCGTAGTCACGTGAACACATGGGACCGTACCCCGAAGTTCCGAACGGTTCTGGATTCATCCTTGTCTTGTGTGAATTTGTCCTGTGTTGATAAGTATCAAGTAGTTAAGAACTCTCTTTTCGTCTTGTTTGGCTGTATTCAACTTAAATACAATACTTTTTACTACCTGTGCCTCCAGAAAATACTGATAAAACGAATTTTTTGTCATTTAAACTGTGTGAGAACATCCTTGGCTGAAAAGACTTCAAACTTCCTAACATTCCCCTTGAATATTCAAGACTATAATATGAAAGGACCAGACATATTGCGACACAATTAAAGTTTCGTTTTAGAGTGGCACAAAAGAAGCAAAGTTTATCACCTTCATAATTCAATTAAACACACATGTTTGCACTTTGTTTGTGCAGATCATGAAGGAGAAATATTTAGACATAACATGCACGAGTAAATTTGGAATAGAGTAGTAAATTAGTATCAATTTCTAGTTAATAAGCTGATTTTTAGTTATACGTGTAAAACGCAATAATCCTAACTATTTCCGAAGGTTGCGGGTTCAGGCAACGAAGACGAAGTCATTGACCTGGAATTTGTTCATTCTCTCATCACCAACGGAGCTTCAGTGCATACGACTGATCGTCATGGTCAGAGCGTCCTGCATGAAGCTGCTAGAGACTGGGACCTAGGAATTGCTGAATTTTTATTGGACAACGGTCAGTATACTTAATTTGTTTTCTTTTGTGGAAATATCACGTCTATTCGGCAATTCGTCGGTGGGAACACCTTGTCTGCCCAAATTTGGAAAGTAATCAGTCAAAGTTGTACAGTTTCATTCGATTTTGTACCTAGTCATCTATATGCCTTCACCGTGGACTGAGATGATGAACGAGTACGTAACAGTCTCTACTCATGATCGGGCGTTCGCTTCCCTTGATTTCCATGTGTCTATGGGTGCACTTATTCCAAGAAGCCGGATATAAGCGCCGACCTACAGTAATGATCACTTAGGTAGTGAACAACAGTAGGATTGAGCTTTAGCGCATTCTGTTCCTTGAGTTGAAAAGAAACATCAGATCACTTTCTACAATTCGTTCTGTCCATTGTCGAAATTTAGTCGTATAGTCTTCATCCACCGTCCTTTTCACGTATTGCTGGTCATTCTCTTTTGCTCTTCACTCCTTCTGACTTCCACTCATGCAATGCTGGAATTTGTCATAATTTTCCATTCCTAACACATCTTCAACCATGTCTTGGCGTTTCAGAGCGCTCTCGCACCTCGGCATTCATCACATGTTCTTCCCTCGCCGTTCATGAACCTGATACTTAGGGTCTTTATCTCCGATCCTCCTCCCCTCCCTCGCCCACACCAGCTAGGATGATGTAGATAGAGGTGGGGATTATAAGAATGAATGTGAAATTACCAAACTTGCAAATTGCGGAATTCGAAGCCAGAAAGAGCGAACGACGTACGGCTCACAGTCTTTGGTTTCATACGATTGTGGTGTCACTGCCCACTGTCCTATTACCTGTCAATATTTTTCTTGGTATTGTACCCGTTCGTCGGTTATATAGAAGTTTAATATTGTCTTCTTGAACACTGCAGGCATTGACGTAAACATAGCAGATAAATACGGACGGACCCCTCTGCACGTGGCTGCCGCAGTGGACTACCCTGAAATGGTTCAATTCCTGATCCTACGCGATGCTTCCATTGGATCAATAACGTACGGCGAAGAACAAACGCCTTTACATTACGCGGCAAAGAATGATGCTACACAATCACTCAAAATGTTGTTGAAATATGGCGCAAATATGAAGGATAGAGACTATAAAGAAAGGACACCTTTACAGGTATAAACTAATTAGTATAATACTTATAGTTCTGTCAGTTCAAAACTGTTCTTCCTATAAAGGTCCAGTAAGAGTCATCCTTTCTGGTTCCACTGTTTCTTTAACTAGGAGGAAAACCGTGGACTACAGTAAACTGAACTTGAAATTATGACCAGAAGCCGCTTGTACGAACACCAGATAGCGCTAATCCACCGTATAGTGATTCTTTCGACCGTTGTACAATTGCTTGAAAATCTTCAAAACTAGAAAATATGGACCCCGCAATAAATAAAATGTCGCTTTTATTTATAAATACTAAAGTTTCATCTGGGTTATACCAATCAACGACCAATTTTAGAAATCACGAAAACATCGCTATCCGGTGGATATGGAGCTATTCACCCTTCGTACAACCCAGGCAAGTACTTATTACAGGGATCACACTAGAGTGGCAAATGTGAAAGACACACCACTGTTCCACAAAACTGCCCGAATTTTATTTGTACAAGGCATCATGAGTCGCAAGGGTCCTCTCAGAACCACCAACGAGACTATCACATACGATTTACACTCGAGGCTAAATAAATTGTCATAATTGATTACGCACACGCATGGTTCTTGGTGTTCTAATTGTCGCTCGATTTACAGATTGCTGCTGAGTTGGATCGCTCAGAAACAGCTCGGATGTTGGTAGAACAGGGATCTCATGCAGGAGTGAGGGATATCAATGGATTATCTGCGCTTGTGCTGATGATAACCAAGATGCCGTCAGTGGTAAGAAATATTAGAAATCAAACAATACTGACTCGTCAGCACCTATTGTTTAAGAGATGACATTATATTAAAAGTTCATAGGCGGATTTTTTGGGGTGCAATCGCTGCATGGTGAGTCCCTGAAGCCGGATACACCCTTCTGAAAGTGTTTCTGCCAGACGAGCCCAGATTTACCCCTACTAAAGCTATTAGTTGTTATATCTGAGAACATGTTCACCGAGGACAGGTGATGATGTCATCTGTCATAACAAATGAAAATGTATATGTATGTGAGATAAATGTATATGTATGTGAGATGAATAAAAGGAAGCTCTTTTGCCCAGTTAAACTTTTTCAGTTAGTTCCAACGCTAAACCACGTAATTACAAATAGTTTCTTTCTTCATTGGAATAAGTGTTGCAACAACGTTCCAGGTTTGAGTTCCACCTTTAACATACGACAAATTATTCTATTTTATTTGCTAGGCTAAAGAAGCACTCAACCAGTTCCATTCTCTTGACCGAGCAAACAGAAAAGAGTACTACTTCTTAAATTTCCTAGAACCCTTGGTTCCAAGATGTCTGTCTTCAGGAGATGCCAAAACCCCCCTGGAAGTCGTTGTTGAACATAAACAGTTCGATCTGATCATGCATCCAGTATTTCAACGGCTTATCAAAGTCAAATGGGAATACTTTGGTCGGAGTGGGACCTGGATCCAAATGATTATGAATGTAGGGTTTGTACTTGTGTGGACTGTACTTGCCATCACGTTGCCTGGAAACGCCGCTGACCACTATCTGCCTATTTCCAAGAACTGGTGGCGACTAGGTATCGAAGGAGTCGCGGTGGTTTTAACTCTTGTCGAAATATGCGTTGAGCTTAAAGAGTTTGCGAGATCAAAAAAAGAGCACCAGAAGTGGTTGGATTGGCGTGAACAACAACTCGACAGTGACCTGGAGTATTGCCATCCACGCTGGCCAGGAGAGGGTAAATATATCAACCAAGAAAAGTCATCACTACATTCGCAAAACGTTTCTTACTTTCACGATAATTGGAATTACTTTGATTGGGTTACCTACGCTATGATCGGCGCCAGCATTTTTACACACATCGTAAAAGTGTCGGCAGGTAGCGTAACTACGGCGAAGATTAACCGACGTTTCCTCGCCGCTACGATTATATTCATCTGGCTTCGTTTGATGAAGACAGCTCGAGCGTTCACATCCCTCGGTCCTTTCGTGGTCATGTTAAGTCATTTCGTGGGGGATACTTTGAAATTTGCGTTTTTGTATCTTTTGTTTTACATTCCGTTCAGCGTGGCGTTCTGGATGATTTTCGGCGCGGAACAAACGACAGCAGTAGACGGATATGGAACTATAGAAGAACTACTGTTCAGTATGCTACGGTTAACTGTAGTTGATGATTACAACTTTGATGGCCTTAGCCAGGCAGATCCATTCATGGCTAGATTACTTTGCGCGTTGTACCTCATTTTCTCTGCTATAATCTGCCTCAATCTCTTCATCGCTTTAATGTCGGATACTTTTCAACGTGTTTACGATAACGCAAAAGCAAACGCGGTTATGGAACAAGCTACGATGATTCTGAATTTAGAGTCAAAACTTTCTGTTGGTAAGCGGAAAGCTTGCTCAGATTTCATCCAACAACGTTGTAATCCTGAGGAACTTTACTACGATGACGATGCAGTGGATGACAGTGAAGGAGAGCTCAAGAAAGTCACATTCCAAGTGAAGGAACAACTAGATGATGTTCACGAGATTCTCAATGAAGTGCACACCGGTCAGTCGTTAAAATCACGGTTCGAGTCCGAACTGGACGCCCTCAGACACACGGTCAGCGAACTTCATAATGAACAGCTCACTACTGTAGACAGAGTAGACAGGGAGGTTTCTGAAATTAAGTTACTCCTCAGGCAGTTAGTGTCCGGGCAAGCTGCTGCGAAATCCCGTCGGAGACGTTCGACTGCAAGCAATGGCAGTACCGAAGGCTTGTCGACAATCAACGAGACTGAAGCGACTGATGAAGTACAGTTTCAGGAATAAATCTACGCTCGAACGATATCGGATTAATTCAGAACCGTGTGCTAATTCCACCGTGTTCATTTATTCACGAGGAAATTCGCACGGTTAGCAGTACTGCAATTCGTCTGGTTTCATTCCTCCCGTGCAAATGCGTATCGAAAGACGAAATCGTACAAATGTCAGTACAGTTTCGCCAAATTCATCCGATCCAGTCTAAGTTTTCTCGCACGAACTAAAGCAGGGTTTCCAATAGAAGCCGGCATCCGGCAATTTTCGCCGCTCCAGATTATAAACCAAAATATTTCCTCCCTAGCAAAGAAATGTCAAGGGAAAGGTTTCTAGCTTTTATAGCATAAAATGGCTAGACATGCCATTTCAGTTGGTCTAAATTTCGAAATCTTCACAAGGAGACGCCCTCGAACTCTCCTTGGTGACGTACTTTTGCTGACCTCACTACTTCTTTCAAAAAGTCTCCTACTCCAAATTCTATTGGGAACCCTGCTAAAGGCTGCTCTACAGGCTGGTAACGTGCATAAAAACAATTTTCTGCCGCACTTGTCTCGCAAGTTTACTTCGAAACTTTCTTTGAGAAAGATGACGCCACTATATAAGCCAGTCTTTAACGTATCTCTGTGTGTAACAATAGAGAGGTTCAGATTTGACTTCCGCACCATTAATGGACTATAAACCAATCAGATGCGTTTGATATATCCGACCGATTAACCAATCAAACCAGTACTAAGCCAGTGAGAGGTAGTGGTAGTGGAAGTCAAATCTGAACTCTCTATAATATCTAACCGTGGGTGAAGATGAACACAAGGAATTATTTCTTGACAGTGCACAGTGACAGCTGCACCATCACACAATTTTGTTATTTTTGTAAAGTTGTTTGTTCCTATACACATAAATGCAAAACAATATGCACGTGATTAGATTGCATCATTTACATACCAACGATAGTCTGTGCCAATCATGATGATTCCAATGCCAAAAACTTCAAAGGCAAGATTGCATGTATCAAACCACCCGAGTATCTTGCCTCTTGTTCTACATTTACTGAGCGCCCATCGGATCCTGTACCGTCCATTGTTCCCTGGCTGTTACTATTCACAGTTTGCACCAAACCTGCAAAAGTTGGAAAGTTATATATTAAGGATGTAACTTCCTCAATACTTTGACGTTTCGAGCAAAGGCGCTTAACATCTCACTGCTATTGCACCAGTACATGGACGTCCAAAGGATGGCCATTTTTTCTCCATATTTTTTTAGGTAGTTACATCACTCAATGACTCAATCAAATTCTTGAATATTTTGCAATTCAGCACATGCGAGTGTGACGCAACAATATTTACTGAGAGTTTGCTTCACCGCGGCCCTTCCGATTTTTTACCTCAAGACAAAACAGGAAGCTTTTAAATCCTTCACACTTGGCTCATGCATGTCCGGACATGCTAATGAGTGAATGAAATATTATTCAGAGAATGCACTCTCCTATAGTTTTCATTCCTAGTTTGATTGTCTTGATATTAGGCTGGTAATATTATATCCATAAGAAAGGACTCGCTTTTTTTTGCGCACATAGAAAACGACGCCGATAACAAGAGCGCAAGAGCAAGGTAAACAATTTCAATGCACCTTTATTGAGTAAAGTATAATTAGACTATTTGGATTCAAATTAGTTAAAACCAGAAGCACATGTTAGGAATTAACTGAGATAGCCAATTTCCTTATTTAAATCCAAGGATTGAATTTGTATTGTAATAGAGTAGAGTTAAATTGGTTTGGTATTACTATAGAAGGATTGTTTACTTGTGTGGATTTACCACTGCGGTCATTTAAATCTAAATTTCTTGGGTTGCATCGTTTTAGCGCGAAGGCAAGGTGGACAAGTATAGCTACTTAAAATTATGATCTTTCCAGACCGACTCATCCGGTAGTGTTTTCTGCAAACATTAATTAAATGGTCTCTCTAAAAGTTACTGAAAATGATAAATTTCATGCGCTAAACCAAATATATTGGATGGACGCTGCGTTGTAGTAAATCCTCCTCCGTAACCGTGGAAGTTTTTGAAGCAACGTATTATAGTATCTATTAAAAGTGTCTGTGGGGGTAAGATCGTGATAAGACCACAATTTGCAACAGCAGATGGGTAGCAGTATTACGTGTAACATCACACGTCGAACGAAACATTGCCATCGCGTCATGTTACAGAATGTTGCACAATCGGTGATCCAAGCCTGGACCATTACATCATCAGTTAGGATAAGTGCGCCAATATTACATTTGTATATTGTGGTGGGATATGTTAGTCCGAGGGGTAAATTACTCTGAAAAAAGCGTACGACGATTTTTGAGATTAGAAAATCCCGGCAATTTTTCTCGGGATTCTCGGATTTTTTTTGCCAAAATTTAAGGGTTTTCGGATTTTTTTTCAGATTCTTTTCGAAATATTTTCCATTGTTTTTTTCGCCGAACCTTTCCCGCAATTTTTTGCGACATATAATCCGTCAAATTATTTTTAAAACGAAGCAAATCAACGAGGGGCGTTTTCACGCCAATTCACGATTTAAATTTTAAAATTTGATGGAATTTCTCGATATTGCAATAATTTTCAGGATTTTATTGGATTTCTTGGGATTTTAGGATTCTAGGATTTAGTAAGATTATTGGAATTTTTCCAAAGATTTTTTTGGATTTTTGATGAAGTGTACGAAGATTTTCAGAGTAATTTGTCCCTCGTGTTAGTCAACTGATGTATTTATGTATATGTATAGGTAGTAATGGGAGAAGCATTCTGAAGCCAGGATGTACGAAACCGGGATAGCTTATCGGTTAGCGGAATCCAAAATAGCAAACAAAGTCTATGCATTAATTGCACAATCGCTGTCCTTGGTTTCACAGTCTTTTTGAAAATGTAAATGGTGGCGCACTGTAGTATGGAATTGGTATTAGACAATGGCCGTATAGGCATCTGCTCACAGCCCAGAAATCTAATTGACGCCTTATTCTTTATAACAAACAAATTAACTAAACATAAGTCATAAGAGCGGTACAGACATGTAGCTCTCAACTTAAGGGCCTTAAGGACGTTATAGGGTTTCCTCCTACACAAGTTTAACCACACCTGATTAATTAACAATTATTCGCCGAAGGCGAGGTGATTATCGGTGAATAAAAAACGAGACGAAGTCGAGGTTTTTATTCACGATAATCACCGAGCCTGAGGTGAATAATTGTTTTAGTATAATTTCATAGGTGATTATTTGGAAAAAAATAAGAAAATACACATTTCTTCGTCATTTAATTGACAAAAAG